GGCGGGGACTGCGGGGTGAGCCAGCCCCTGCCCTGGCGTCTTCCCGGTGTGTCCTGACCTGTTTCCTGCCTCCCATAACCACGCTTTATACTACATCCCTGTGTGTCTTCGCGTCCCAGCAGTGCAGGCTGCTCCCCTCCAGCTTGGCCGGTTTCAGAGCGCTGTCACCCAGTTCCGGGCTGCTTAAACGCCGGCCGGAGGTCTCGGTTACCGACTGCAGGGTGTGATCTAGGAAAGCAACTTCATGTTTGCAGCAGAAGTCTTGCCTTCTTCAGGGCATCATTTGAGAGTCTTCTCTATAGAGTGTATTGTGAACGGAGAAATGACAAGACTTCTGCCCCTACCATGCACACGGGTTGAAGTTAAAGTATTAATGTTGTTCACTTTGCTTGGAAGGGATGTTAATCTTGAGGGAAAATAAAAGGTTTATTTTCTTTTACTACGTCCATTTTTTGTCTGTTTACATTGCTGGCTAATAAAACACCCAGCCTGAATGGCGGTGTTAACCGCCTTTCCCAACTCATAGACGCAAGGGCTGTTCATAATATTGTGTCTGTTAGCCTTGGATTTGTGACTGTCATGTCAAAACCAGTGTGAAATTAGTCTCCACTTACTAACTAATGGATTCTGCTTCACGTCGTGTACTACAACACCTTAATTCAGTAGAGTACAATCTCCTGTGATTGATGGTTCTTTATTGCTGGAAAACAACCAGTAAAAGTTGAGTTGCCATTAAGTTCTTTTAAAATGTTAATATCCAGTAAAGTTTTATAACAGAGTGTGACAGGGCCTTTGTGGCTTCTTGCTTGTGGTGTTTCGTTTAACCATTTTTCCCTCCACATGTTTATACGGGACTGTATTTCAGACAGTGTCTGAGAGGAGTTCAGCTGACTTCAGTTCAATATTTCACATAAAGTATACTCTGCTACAGTAGGATGGTGGAATATTTACCGCAATTAACAAATGCTGCTAATGAAAGACTAAAAGTTGTGCACAGAGGGAAAGGAACACAGCTTGCCTCACTGTCAAAAGGGAGTAGATGTTGAGCTTAATTAGCCATCAGTGTACGATAGCATAAGACTTCTGGATTGCAGCATCGTTATTTTTTCTTATTTTTTTGTAATACTCTTTTAAAGTGAAATTTCTGCTCCTGTTGTTTGCCAGTTAATTAACCCCCCTGGAGATTTCAAAAGCCAGTTCTTAGATTTTCTTCCATAAAAGCCTGTGGAGAACCAGCTTGTGAATGTGCTGCCATGACATTTGCAGGTTTACAGTCCAGGCAGCAGTAACCAGCTTTGAAGAGATGAAAAGGTTTTGAAAAGGTCATACACAGATCTTGTATTTAGCACTTCCCTTCTGCAGATCTTCTTGTTTACAAATGTTTTAATTAATCCTTTAGCAGCTGCCTCCGCAGGTGCTGATAAGATGTATTATCACAATTCAGCAGACGGGTGAAGTGGAACCCAAAGGTGATAAGTGGTCGGTGGTAGCCTTGTGAAGACCATTTGCATTAAGTACTGGGCTACATGTGCTTGATATTAAAGTGTGGCTCGTGCTTTTAGATCTTGCACCATTTGATTCAGGTGCCATTGCTTGGGGAAACTTAATCCAAATAAACCACTCTTTCTGACGTACATACTCTGTAGACCATGATGGGTCTGTTTTTTAATTCATCCGTGTGTGTTTACATTTTAGATAAATGTGATCACATACTTTTTATCTCGTTATTCCTGTACTAATCTTTAGGAACATAATCTTTAAAATGTAATGTGAAATGATTATTTAATTGGGTGCTTGTAGCAGAATTTCTTCTGTTGAGTTTTCTGACTGGCTAACCAATTTCCTTGAGCAGTGTGGTTTTCCACATGATAGATTCACTTATTTTCCTCGAGAAGATACTGTAATTTTAATTGGAAAGCTTTGATGGATTTTGAATTGACTCAGAAAACGAAAGTCAATTTTTATTTCATTAAAGATCTTGTACATTAGATGCAAATAGAAATATAAATAGAAAATATTTATTTTCTATTTCGCAATCACAAAAGCCTTGTATTGGCTTTTACCTTGGTGTTTGGTTTGGTTTGGTTTACGGGGGCATTTTGTTAAAACTGAAAAGGTGTGTGGGGTATATGTAATACATATATTATAGATCTATATTGCCTTTATATTTTAAATAAGGTCAGCAATGCATTTGGGGTTTTTTTTTGTGCAAGGGAAGTGTTCTGTGATGCCTTCTTAGGATCTATCCCCAACCAAGCCCATTTTAGTTGGGACCTGAACTATGTCCAAGCCTAGTGTTCCCCACTGGCACGTTAACTGTCAGCCTGCAGGCTTATATAAGGACAAAAAATGATGCTGCTACAAATGAGGGGGGAAAAACTAGCTGATGTAGAATTCCTCTGCAGTGTTGCACATACAGGTATGCTTTGATATCCACAAAGCAATCTTTGTACAGGAGCACGTATAAACTGTACTGGTAGACTTGCCTCTAGCTGGGAATTACACTGGTATAAATGTACACCTCTGACAGATGCAGTTATTTAGACACTTTCTATAGACCTTAAGGGAGGTCCCAGCTCCTAGGGATGTGAGAATATAAGATGGATGTTACCACAAAATTGTGGAGACTTCTGCTCTTTTCAGCATGTTTGGTTAACATTGTTAATACCTGAATTGTCACTCAGTTCAGGCACTTGAGTTGAGACATCTGGAAATAAAAGGGATGTTTCAGTAGGTCGGTACTTTTGCACTCTCAGCAATTTTATGTAGGCTGTGACAGATGTCCTCTTTTACTCACAGCTGTGAGAGAGGTTACCATTCCTACCTGCCTATTTCCATCCTCTGCCAAAAGTTGTCGCTGAGGAGGCAATTTACAGGAATGTCGTTGTATTAGGGAAAAATAGCAGTCTTACCCTCAACTAAGTTACTGGTCTCAACTAATTTGGCAGGCTGTTTCTGCAGTGAGTTAAGGTGCTTACACATACCGCTTGACTGTTACTTTGGTAGGTCAACAATGAGAATTTGATGGAGCTGGTAACATCTTCCTTTAGTACAACTCGAAACAGAAGACTTCTTTTCGTAGCCTCAGTTTCTTTTTGCACTTCCACAGGCACATTCCAGCCTTCAGAGCTGCAAATGCAAATGGAGAAAATAAGAGAACGGTTGAAAGTATAGATGTTTCCAAAAATGGGCAATCTGGTATGACCTACCTCTAACTTTGAGCTCCAGTGCCATTTGTACGAGTGGTGTTGGTGTCACATATGCAGCAATAACTAACATCAGTATGTTCTCTCATAGGAAAGTTAGAGAGTTGTAATAACTTGTAGAATCAAAACTAACCAGGAAAGGTCTGTTTCTCTCTAAGGACAGTGACCAGCAGATAGCTGTGACCAGTAGTTATTTGCTTTTCCATTACCTGTTTGCCCAAACTTAGAGGAAACCCAGAGAAAAATCACAAAAAAACTTTACTTTTATCAACTACTAAATATTATGTAATGGATAATTGTTGTCATGGAATTGTTGGATGTTTGAACATACTCATGATGCAAAAAATTGAAACTGTGTGTATATGTGTCTGTCTTTGTAGTTCATGCAAAGGGGTTTGGATGCACAAACCAAAAAAGAGCTAGAAGAAGAAGAAAAGAAGGTCATTAATGAAGAACACTGGTATCTTGATGTACCAGTCAAAAAGGCGAAAGAGTAAGCTTGAACGTTTTTGTACTTCTTGTCATCATTAGATTGTTGTGGAGTGGGAATAGAATATGCATATATTTTTTTTTTTCTATAAAACAGTATTATTGCTAACCAATTAATTGCAGCAAAAATAATGACAGACTGGCATTACAGCTTTTTTTTTGTTACCTATTTTCAGGGACATTCTCAAGGTTGCCTAGTGAAGTTTGACCTACTTTAATTTCTTGCGTGTGTTGTTTTTTTCACTTGCACATTCTTCTGGATGCATGTAATTAGGTTCTTTCAGGCAGGGACCAACTCATTCATTGCTGCTTTTTCCCTTCGTTTGCAAAAGGAAGTTTGAAACCCTGTGTTAGTAAATTCAGCTCCAGTCTCACGGTTAGGTCCATTCAGGACAGTTTTGTTTTCTTGAGTCCAGCTCACTTCAAATCCTGTTTTGAAATAGGAGAGAGCATGGCAAAAAATAAAGGAAGACTTAACTAATAAGGAAGAAAACGTCCATTCATGCTATTTACAAAGGTGCTTTAAATAGCAAGAGAACTGCTTTTAAAATTGCTCAATTTTTGTCCTTTCAGAAGAGGACAAAAATGCCACTGAGGGAGAGCATACACCAGTTTTAAAAAAGCTGGGATCCAGGGAACTAACTGTGGTTGAATAAGGTCATTGATAAAATACGTGTTTGAGGTTCAGTTGCAGCAAGGAAGGTTCAAGCTGTACATTGGGAGAATTTTTCTAACAGTAAGGCTATTGAGGCACTGCAGTAGATTGCCTTAGGAGACGCTGGAGTCTTCATCATTGGAAGACATTGGACAGGTTAGATGGATCTCTGCTGTTTGTGGTAGATGTTTAACTGATCCTACCTGAGGTAGGAGAATGAGCTTGATTACTTTAGCCTAACTTCCTGTGCCCACAGGAGTTTGTTTTACATGGGAGATGAAGAGGACGAGGGAAGAGAGACATATGTGTGTAAGGAAAAGAAGGAAGGAACAGCTCACAGAAGTGCTTTTACCTAACGTGTGTTATGAACACCTCAGGGTCATGTTTCTTTTCTCACTCTATGGTCATCAAGAGAGGGAAAAAAGGAGGGAGAAAGGGGAAATCTCTGTGCTGAACAGAGAATTGCACAGTGTTTTATACCCTGACAGACTCAGTAATGCCAAGTCTAACATCACAATGAAAAATTAATTAGAAGCTTTTGCTGGTATAGTAATGCCACCTGGAGAGTGATATTTATGTGGTATTTTTATTCTGGCAAAAGCATTCATGTAGGTGGAATCATACCAGCAAAGAACGCTTTTTGTCAGGAGAGTTAATTTTGCTTGTGGAACTGGCACAGCTTTACTGGCAAGAAGTATTCCTTTGCACTCCAAGATCCTTGTATTGGAAGATTTATCAGAGCAATTAAGCTTCAGAAAGTAGCTGATGGTTTAGAATACACTGTGGTTCTGTTTATTGGGGGGAAGACAGCAAATGCTTTTTGCATTCGCTTAATGTGATTAGTTTGAAGTGCACTGTTTGACAAAGTGCTCGGTTTGGGGTTTCATGCAGGTCCTTTATCGTAGAAGAGCGAAGCTTTGTGCTATGTGAGGAACTCCTTTATGGCAGGATGTCCTTCAAAGGATTCAATCCAGAAATTGAGGTAACATTTAAATGTTTTGAGGTAGTCTCGCATTAGGATTGAAGCTCTGCATGCTGTTTGGCCTTTTTAACACCTTCCATAAATCCTCCCATGTACAGGAAGCCCATGATTCAAACCAAAATGTTGATCAATGCAGCATCTGGTAAACAGAAGTTTTTTATCTCCTTGTGTTGATGGTCAGTAATTGCATGGCTCCTGTGGATTTTCCTTCCCTGAGGTGAGGAGACTGTCCCACATGCTGCTCACCAAAACAATAGCTCACTTTTACTCCTGCTATTTAATTGAGAGTCTAATCTAAAAACATTCAACCCCATTTATTCAACACTTACTTGTGTAAGTAAGGGCTTACAGTTCCAAAGTAAAAATTCTGAGCAAGAGACTCTTTGATTTCTTTCCCGCATAATTCATGCTGGTAGAACTACACTGAGATAGTAATAAAAATGTTACCACTGAACTGAAGCAAGAGGATTGAAGGTGTAAAGACCAAGATGTGCAAAAGGCTATGTAAGGTGAATTACTAGGGGGTTTTTAGTTACTTTGAACTTGCTCTCACTGTGACTTGGCACATTATTGCTACATGGTTTTTACTGTGTATGCTTGCAGATATTTTTCCTTCTTAACAGAACCAAAGACTGTGTGCTAACATAACAATGAAAAATTAATTATGATCTAATTCTCTGGTCTCCTGAAGATGCCTGGCATCCCCTTTAGGACGTTTGGATAGTACAATATGCTGAATACCTTGTCTCTATGTTGCCTCTTTTCCCAAAGGCAAACTCTCAAGCTCCGCAGAGTAACAGGCAGGCATGTTGCCTTTTCTTCTTGAGTTTTCCTAGCAGTATGCTCTAGCCTGAGTGGGAACAAAAGAATTATTAAATTTGATTCTTATCTTTAATGCGTTTCTCCTACCAGTGAATTTCAGCATAGTTGCCATTGTGTCAAGCTATTTCTTGTGTGGTTAAGCTATTTCTTTCTTCATTCTCAGAAGTTAATGATCCAAATGAACTCTATGAATAAGAAAGAAGAAATTGAAGTGGATGATAAAATGGAGGCTGATGTGTCAGATGCAGAAATGGCCAGAAGGTAAGTTATGTTTTATGACATAATCAATATTAGCTAGGAATATGATATATTACTGCATTATATGTGGGGAAAATAAACCCAAAAAGCAAGCAAACAAACAAAACAAAACAGAAAAACTACCAGCAGATACAGTACTTTACGGCACTGATTTTCAAGGAATTTTGGTGTGTATTCAGTGGAATCTCCATCCCCTGAATCTCAAACTCCATATAAGATTTTTTTGGGGTTTTCTGCCCTTTGTTATCCAGGTATTTCATGCTAATTTCCTCCTTGTTCCAAATTACTAACAAAACCGAATTACCAAAATGAATGATGTAGTAAGTGATAATGTAGTACTTGTGCTTCTTAAGATTCTGATGAACAGCTTTTTTACACCACTTAAGCTGGTGATTAGATTTATGATTTGCTCCACTGAAATTTTGTCTGGTTTTAGTAAAAGCTGTTAATTTTTTATTAACTTCACAGATACGAAACATTAGTGGGAACAATAGGGAAGAAATTCATGAGAAAAAGAGACCACCGTGTACTCATGGATGAAGAAGACTGTGAGAATATTGAGATAAGGCCTAGCAAAAAAGCTAAGAAAAAGTTCTTAAAACCTCGGGACTAATGTCAGCTGCACCACTGGAGCTAATGGAAACATTATCTACCAAATATAGTACACAAACTGAGATTGTTTGAAGGACTTGCTGTTTAGTGTAAAGGATAGATTTGTAAATCTGAGTCAGTTCTTATTGAAACTTTTACATACCACTCTCAGCAGCTTCTACTGTGCAATAACCCCATCATTCTTTTTAAACGTTGTGCATAACTACATCAAGTGTCACATGCAGTTTAGAGCAACATTATTTGCAATGTATGTTAACATCTGAAAGAAGTATTTGGAGTACAGCTTTGTCCGATCCAGTAAGGCAGTTCAGCTTTCACTGCTTTATTTATTATGAAAATGAAACCTTTGCTGCCTTCAGATTGAAAGAAGACCCCAGAAAAACGTCTTTTTTTTTTTTTTCTATGCTAAAAATAAGATGGGAAAAGAACAGACATAAACCCAGTTTTGTTTATTTTTATAAAGCTCATTTAAAAATAGAAGGGCTTGCAGTAAAACTTTTTTTTTTTAATAAATATATAGAGCAAGCCAAATATTGGGCAACATTTACGGTTTGACAGTTGAGCAGATTGTGAGTCTTAATTTCTGTCTTCCTAATCTTGTCTCTTTTTCAGCAAAAAAAAAATAATCCAATCTTCTAATTATCGAGGTCTTGTCGTAAAAGCGTAGTAACAGCTTCAGAAACATTTGAAAGCTGAATAAAAACTGATATTTTTTTTGTGTGTGTGTATGTGTTTAATGCTTGTGGTTTAGCTAATTTAATGTAAAACATGATGCTTAATAAGTTCTGATATCAGAGATCCTGTTTTATGCTGGTCACAGATGTCCCTAAATATTAGTTGACTGCATGACTCTGCCTGTTCAGCGTGTGATGAAGCCATCTGAAGTAATGTTAGGACAAAAACATCCTGCTCTTTGATCAGTCAGTGCTCTGAAAAATGTCAGTGTGGTCTTGCCTAAAATTGTAGCAATTCTCTGTACTCTGCTTTTCAACAGGGACTATTTCTTTCTATTACTTCATTTCCCCAGCTAGATGTCTGAGTTACTTATCCTTAATGCTGATTCTCTGGAGAAAGAGGAGTTCTTCTAAATTGAAGCAAGTAGTGGCCATTCTGTTACAGGCACAAGAGGCTTTTTGGTTTTCTTTCTTTATCAACTCCGTGAAGCAAGATGTGAAACTCAGTTTTATAAAGAGGGAGCCTGTGTGTCTGCTGGTTTTTGCCTGTGATATATGAACTACCTGTATATCAAGAGCACCTCATTAGATATTCAAGATGGATCACACATGCAAAGTGAAATACACCTTTAACTTAGTCAGGGGACCTCGTGCAGGTGAAAAGTGTGTGATTCATGATCTGAGATGCATTTCAGAGCTAATTAAACACTACTGGTTGAATTACTTAAAACCTGATCATATATTATTGCTAGCTGAAAAGAAGTTAATGATGGCAAGACATTTTTCTTCCCGTGGAAGATGTGACTTGAGCTTGGAAGTGATTTATTGTTGATCATCCCAAGAAAAACTCAGCATGTATCCTGTTATTCTTACCTGCTTATTAGTAGGAAAATTATGCCCCTCTATCTGGACACATACCTTCAATGGAGAGAGAATTTCCGCATAGCTGGTAGTTGATGGGGGGTAAAAGTGTATTCTAGTGAACCACCAGCAACCAGGAGATGTCACTGCAATTGCACACCCTGAGAGACAGTGGTTTGGAGAAGGTTCCAGTGGTGTCATGTAAAGGAGCTGGAAATGTGAGTGGTATGGTACGTCAGTGTGAGTGAACTCTAGTTAGTTTCCTAGAAAAATCTGTGATTTTGAGATTTGGGTAGGGGGAGAAGAGTGGTTCTTCTGTTTCTTAAACATTCCCAACACTGACCGTGAAGAAATGATAGATTTTGGTTTATTATATTCAAATCTGGGTGCTCAGCATTCATGTTTAGCTGGTGGCTAGATGAGCTGTTGAAGTGCTACAGTGAGACAACTACTAATTCTGAGCATAATCTCTTACTCGTGGGGAGTTACTCAGTGCACCTTTAAAAGCACCATTCGTAGTGCATTATTATAAGCAAGACGAAACTAAGAATCATCTCTACGTGACTTTTTAAATGTGTTTTAAGTGTGCAAAGTTACAAGCAGGCATTTTATGATGGGATCTTCTGAAATACCTATCTGTATTTCCGATCTTGCAAATACATATATGTATGTATTTTAGGTCTAGCTGTAGCTTCTTAGCCAGGGTAGAAACATTCTGCTGTATAAAATCTGTGCTTGAACTACTCTTGACAGAGACGTAAGTTTGGTGGTGAAATATTCATCATGTGAACCTACATTAATTTAAGATTTCTTGGCTGTGAAACAGTCTCAAATGCAGATGCATTTTCATGTGCAGCTTCCTAAGCTGTAGAACTTTCCCACATAGTCTTGTTTCTAAAAGAAAAGCAGTTCTTTGAGAACAAAAGCTAGTTGGGTAAGTAGTAAACATTTTTGTTAAAATGGCTATGTGCAGAATTCAGTGGGTAAAGAGTTATCAGACACCAGAAGTGTTTGTGCCTGTTACACCAAGGCACCTATTAAAGCAAGCAAAGCAAAGTGTGTATTGTGGTTTGTGCTCACTGACAGATCACAGAGTGTTAAGTTTAAGAGTGTCTCTTCTCAGGTAAAGTTCTTTCCCCTCTCTTTGACAGGCTGACAGTTTATTTCTTGTAATAACTGTTCATCTTGGAAACATGGAAGTATTGTACAGCTTCATCTTTCTTGCTCATGTTTCAGGTTTTGTTACTTTAATTCTGCTTAGTATTAGATCCTGAAAAGTCTGGGACCAGAGTCCAACTGAAGTGAGACATCCTGTATCCTCCCTTTAGTAATGCATGAGCTGATTAAACTTTGATTCCTTGGGTAGGGGGGAGGATGTTCAGTGGTGCCATGGAATTTGAACCATGTTTCATCTGTTATGTGTCCTGCTTTCTAGTAAGACACTCTATTGTGCAATTCTATAGTCACGGGTGGCTGTCCTTGCTATTGGGCATTGCATGTGTGTTTAATAGGCAGCTGGGCTGGGAGTCTGGGATTTAATCCAGCATTCAGATTTAAAAAAAATAGTCTCATCTTTCTGTTAATTGAAATACCATAATTTTAAATTGTATTTGGAATTAGACAAGTCCTGGGTAGGGGGTTCTGAGGTTTTGTTCTTCATTGCAACAACAGTCAACAACTGAAACTGCACAGTTGCTTAAACCTTTCTCAGTGTTAATAAAGCATAGTGGTGGTGAAGGATGTCAAACATCCCGTGTTTTCCTACTGCATTCAAATGCAAGTTTCTCTAAGAGCTGATGCTTTAAGGACTTGGTCATTTCTTTTCTTTCTGGCTGTGAGAGCATCTGCCTCTTGCAATAATGCCTTGCTAATGGAACCCCACCAGCATGAGGCTTCAGGGTTTGTTTGGTTTTGTTTGTTTTTACACCTTTCTCAACTCAAACCTTTGAGGCATTTTTGGGTCTGGCATTCACACCTCGATAACCTGTTTTTGTCAGCTTTTGGGGAGCTCTAGTTAAACTGTGAAGCTGCTCCTCAGCTGTATGTGTTGACGTTTCTTTGTGAGATTTGATGTTGCACAGTGAGGACCTGGTTATAATTGTCATCTCAAGAGGAAGAATCCCACTCAAGAGTAGTTGTCAACAGATGGAGACAGGGAGAGGGTTGAAGCCCTGTAGATCTTTAGTAAGAGCTAAATAGTAGAAGGGGGTGTCTGGTTTGAGTTGCCCATTATTGCAGGCACAGTTAAAAATGCTGATAATGAGTCCACAGACCTCTTCCCACAAAACCCTTACATACCATAACCTGAAGGGTTACCTGGGAGCAACAGCAGGAACATCTTTAGGGAAGTTAGGAGGCAAAATAACCAGTCTGTTCCTGGCTGTCCTCAAGACAAAAGGCAGCAGCATGAGAAAACTGTAGTTCATTGAGCAGACAAATATGGTTTGGTGACCTGGGTGAATTGCCAGCAGCTAGAATGGAGGTGGTGAGTGTTTTGAAGCTTGTAATGTTCCTTGGGATCTCAGGGGCCACCTTGTTTTCATCAATCATTTATAAAGGGGTAAAATTGGACCTTAGGATGAGAGAATAATACAAACACAAATTATGGAGTTAAGTCCTTAGTTCCATTATTTATAGAAAATCTTTGTTCCCCCCTCAGTTCTTCCAGTGTCCCTTGTCACCTCTTGCTTGGCCTTTGGTTCTTACAAGTACATGAGCACCCAGGCCATCAGCTGCCACCACAGCTGGTCAGTAGGGAAGAGCTGACACACACTACTACTAGCCTAGAGCTGCTGGCTGCCAAGCACAGCAGAGGAAGCTACTGGGCGTCCTCTTTGGTGGTCATCTTCTTCCTCAGCCTTTGAGCTCTTTATCCAGGAACCTGTAGGAACTTGCTATCTCCAACACTGCTGTCAAATTTTTTCATTATTGGCCTGTATGGTTCAAGAAATTTGTGGTGGGAAGTGTTGGCCAGCAGATCGATAACGTGAATGAGCAGACCTCATTTAGCTAGCAAATCATGTGTGCAGCAGTTACACAGTAGGCAATCTGTACTTAAAGCAACTCCTTTATGTTTTTACTTTATTTGTTTTCAGGTATACAGTTACAGCATTTGTGAGATTTGTGATCAGATGATTTCTTTGAGCAAAACTGTATTATCGGTAGGAGAAATCAACATTTGACCAATACTAGGGATTATTGTAGATGAGGGAGAAAGGGTGGTTTTCAGTTTTTCAGCTATTTTTTGATGCGTTTGAGAATGTTTCCCTTTTCTAGTGATTTCACCGATTCGGATTTTTGCAGAGCAGCAGGATAGGGGGAACAACAGTTTGTTAAAAATGGGGAAATGTGATTGTGAAATGATTCTAAAGAAAGAGGTTCCTTTAGATTTGGTTGTCTTTTTTTTCACTTTGATACAGCTGAATTAACATTCGTGACATGAATGCTTCTGTGCTAAGTGGTACTCGTTCAGGATACCTGTATGGACTCCCGTATTGGTTATATGCAAAGGGGGCAGAATTAAGAGTATAGTGACGTTAGCTTCATTGTTCTACCTTTCTTATACAAAAAACTTGCAATGCTAAAAACACCATGTTTCCACCCTTTTGGGACAGAAGTAAATCTAAGCTGGTTGTGACATTTAAGCCTCTTTCACCCTTTAAAGGATGATTACTTGTCGGAAGAAGAGCTTGTAGGTATCTCCTTAGAGCCCATCAGCCACAATAATGCTGCAATATATTCAGTTTTCATCACTGGAACAATATGTACATACCAGAAATTACTTTGGGCAGTTTACTGCAGTAATGGCAAAAGGAATGCACATGGTGGTAATTTTCATTTTGTACTATGTTTTGTCTAAGGGTGATGGTGAAAGAATTATGGCTCCTAATGCTCCTTTCAAGGATGACATTGTTTTACTTATATTAAAGGTAGAGAAGTGAGATGAGCTGCAGGTGGTTAGATCCTGTGAAAAATGAAGTTCTAAATGTGTACTTCATTGTCTAAATGCTCACAGATTACTTTTCTCCCTATAATAACCATAGAAAATGTGTTGGCAGCATATCACAATTAATAATCCATAGTCCTATTTATGTGCTATAGGCACTCCAAAATTCCCCAGACATATTTCTTACCCAGGTTTATATGCAGATTCAAATCAGATCCTACATTTGTGCCTAAAATTGAATGCAGTCATCTCACAGCAAATAATTCTATCTACCTGACTTAAGATTTTCTTTTTTTCTTTTTTGTTATCTACCTGACTGTGATTTTTCCCAGAGCAAAATTCACTTTAACCTCATATTAATGTATTTCTCTTTCAATTGCCTGCAAAGAATCCTGTTATCTTTCAGTGGTGATTGTGCAGAAAGCAGGAGGTACTGTATATACGTAGCATTAGTGTAGGTTTTCCTGGTCACTTAGATTGTGTAAAATCCTTTGACATTAACTGGGACAAGTTTTCTATCAAGGGTTATGTTGAATTTCTCTTTGAGGGTTTTTTCCACTTCTTCATCTTCAAGAGTTACAAATTCCACCAGATCCATATTTTCCTTGTAGTTGTATGTGGTCTCAGTGAGTGTCCACCCAATTAGCGCTCGAAAGCCATCGGTGGTCTGGAGGGTGCAGATGGACTTCTTCGTAAAGAGGGAGTCTGGAGAGGTCTGAAGGTACGTGCACTGGAAACGGAAATCTTCCACTGTCCGTGGCTCGAGGCTGAACATGTAAACTTTCCGACAGTCTTTTTTCTCCAGAAGATCGGAGTTAGAGAAGTTTTGATTGGGGATATATTGTTTCCGTCTCATTTTCTCGAGGTACCAGATGTCATTTTTTTCTGTGAAGCGAAAGATGCCGGGAGCCTGGGGCTGGTCTTTCCCCGACACAAGCTCCATCGGCTGGAGAAGCCTCCATCAACAATATAGGCTTTGCCATCAATAACTACTTTTACAAGGAGATGGGTCATGAGGGTGGCATACGCGTTTTGGTGTGGATTGAACACATACGCTCCCAGAAAGCTGGTGTCGTACCCCAGATGTTTTAGGACCCAGCCCAACAGCTGGTTGTTTTCCATGCACCAGCCACCCCGCTTCCTCTGCACAATTTTGTTATACACATGCTCCAGCTCCAAAGTTATTTTCTCCCCGCAATGGATGCTGAGGTTTTCAAAGGGAACAGCACGGATGTGGTGCTGGAATATATCAGTTAAGGTTTCCAAATCTTGTTTTTCAAGGGAACCGTTATAGCCAGTTCTTGCAAAATACTCTTCAAGGTTCATGTCACCTGTAAAGGAAGGAATTGTTTTTTGGTTTTGTTTCTTTACACCAGTGATGTATGATGCTATGAAAAACTGCCCAGGCTGCTGCCAGCAAAGATGCTTTAATCTACTGAACCTCAGCAGAGCAGTTTTTAAGGGAAACAAGTATTCATATCAGATGGTTCCCCCAGCAAAGCAAAGCAGCGCATGTGAGAGTTTGCTTTTTTTGCCTTAGAGTCATCCCTATGGCAAGAAGCTGATGCAGTTTCAGCTTGATGTGCTACAAAATGGGGATTCGCTGCATTTGCATCGTAGCAGAGGGGTTGAGAAGAAATGTAATATCACACTAGGGAGTGTTCAGGAGGGTTCATGAAAATCAGTCTAAACCCACTGTTCAGTGAAAGGAGTGTCAGTGGGGGAAGCAGTGTCATCTGCCAGTCGGAGAGAGGATAATTTGAGCCAGGATTCACATGTTCTTTTCATGAGTCTGCCACTGATTCACTGATGGTAAATGAATTGCTCGTTCAGCACATGTCAGTCTTTCTCCGCTTACAAAAAGTGAGAATGATACTCCCTGCACATTTTGTAAAGTGTCAAGTTTTATTCAGATAATTATAACTGAAAAAAACCTCTGACCTTTGCAAAAGTCGCAGACCACTGAGTCTCTTGTCTGCTCTGAGTGTTGCACAAACTCGTTTTGGTGTTGGAATAATGAATCTGAATGGAGGCGAATGACCTAAAAGACAGAGAGCACATCTCTATTCTCCACTGTGCCCTGTGTTTCACAGGGTGTCCTGAAAATGGACAGTTGCTGCTTTACATCCCTCTAGCCCTGGCCTTTCTCAAAACTCATTCCAGAGGAGGGTGTAACTGAGAATTGTCAAAGCCTCATACAGTGCATCCCTGTCTGTCCTGCCTCCAGCAGTCCCCTGTCTTGGTAGGACTCCTCACGAGCAGGATTGCTGGATGAGGAACTACTGAACTTGCTTTCTGTCTTCTAATACCATAGGAAGTCACAGTCATCTGGCTTTCACAGTGGCTCATCACGGTCTGCTGGCCACAGTTATGAGCTGGATGCTTTGTAGGTATCTGATACTGTTTGTAAAACATACTGTGGGTTGTCTGCTTGGATATGGAGCTGGGCACAAAAAGTTGTGAAGGCTTGATCCTTCGCGAAGCCAGCACCTAGTTGCTCAGCAGTCTAGAGTTACAGCAAATACTTAGCTTCTTGACAGCCCACAAAGCTACTTGGAAATCTTTTGTGCATACAGTAAGCTGAGATTTAGACACTTAATATTAGCAACTCAGGAAGACAGTTGTATTCAGATAAATTCAGTGGCGAGCTGCTGAATGTTTACTGCAAGCTCGAATTTCTCAAGGTGATTTTCAGTGACAGATTCATGATGTGCATATGTATGGTATAGAAGCAGCTGTCCAAAGGTAATGGAGAGCCCCATCAAAAACCTTTCTACAGAGAGGAAATCAGCTTCCGGTGATGCTTAAGTGTATTGTTGGAGGATATTCTCAATGTAATATTTGTTAAGTATAATGTAAGACTCATGGCACTTTTTTCTTTTGATTTGCAGAATCCAAGTCTATCCAATTCTACCCACTAAAATTGTGAATGCTGAATAAATCACACCAACAGAAAGCTGGTTTTCAAGTTTATCTTTTTTATAATTTCTCTCTGCAGCTCCGTAATATGATTGATCAGCATTAGATCTTCACTGTAGGAAATGAAAGCTACTATTCTTTTGATTTTTGAGCAGATAAAAAACTAGATACTGAACAGGTAATCCCACAAATGTGGCTGTTATTTATGCAGAGAAAAACATCAGCAGAAGAACTTCTAACTGTGCAAATGAAAGTACGCTTACAAAAATATTCCTTACCAGTACTATGCATGCCATCAGCAGTTCCACTATTAAAATATTATCTGTCTACCTTTATCCTAATACATCAGCACATGGATTTTCTGGGGTACCTCCAACCAGTTTGTAATTTCTTTTTTTTTCAGTTGTTTTTAAAGGACTGTGATTTTATTCCCATAAAGCAGAATCTATCATTAGATTGCTGTTCTGCTTCCTTTGCATTTGAAATGTTTTAAAAGTTAAAAATCTAAAATAATAACTTCCAACAAAAGGTTCTAGTTCTAAATTTGTGCCTACTATTGCATTTAAACAAAAGATTCTCTCTGATAGTCAGATGAATCTCCTCCTGAAAAGTGAGAAATGAAAGAATTGGAACCACTGTTTTACCCTCTTTAAGAGCCCGTGTTTAGCAGGTGATATTTTAGCTCTATATCCACACATTTTTATAATATTTTTCCTAAAGAGAATACTACTTAACTTACTGCCCACAACCTTTACCATCCATCATAAAGAAACTAGGTTTTCTTTTCATTGGAGGTTTCTTTAAGAAAATAAACTTACCTCTTAAGAGAGCCTTATTTATTCAAACAGGTATTCAGCTTCTGAGTTGTTTATTGCTGGGGCAGCAGTCAGTAAGGCTAGGAATGGATACAAACTGTGAGGGCTGTCTTCTTCTAAGCTCTGCTGGCCCTCGCTCCTGAATCTTAAATGCTGAGAAAGGGCAGAGTCCATCCAACATTAAGGCACGTTTTTGGACTTCACTGATCCATGAGCAAATTAAACTTTGTTTCTTTTCTATTAATAGATGTTTATGTTTTCCGCAGTCAAGACCAGAATGAACTTGTTTTCCATGTAAAATAACTGCAGTAGATAGTTGCAAACGGCTGTGTAACTTTTAAAAATGGAACTATTGTTATTTTGCAAGCCAGCACATTGTAGTGGTGGATAGTCATCTGCTTCCTTGCAGGTGCACTGCACTGCTGTAGTGTTGCAGGCTGCATGTTCCCATGCTCCACAGATACACAAAATGACCCTTCTTTGCCCCCAGAGGAATTTTTGTGATCTGTTCAAAGCTTCAGCTGCAGCAGGGAGTTATTTTGGAGGTGACACACGCACTAACAAATACTTACTTGCACAAAGTAATGTCTTTCCTCTCTAAAACTTGGCCTTCTGCATCTTCGATGTGCTGCAGAGCTGTTTGTTTCGTTCTCTCCCTGTCAAGCATGTCTCCTTTTCATCTGATGGAGGTGGGAATTCAGAGGTCCCTTTTGGAAAGTCAAATAGCACATCAGTCTGCATCTGGGAAAGCACAAGTTTTAGGCACATCAGGTGCCCCATGAGTCTGTGTGGTTGTCTAATACAGCGTCAAAGTCTTTTCTTTGGCCGAGGACCGATGCTCTTCTGTCACCTTTTTCTATGATACATCCTGTACAGTACCTGCCACAAGTACCGTAAAGGTGAAAGGCTTTTGTGTCATATATAGCATGCTGTTAAACCACACCAGTGGCATGTCCTGACTTCCTATTGTTTTCTTTTTCATCTGCAGTATTACTTAATTTAGGTAGCTTTTGTGCAGAATACTGTTTGTAATAAATATGGAGAGTTTTATCTGTAATGCTGTCATCTCTGCTTGACATCGCAGCAAGGTTAGGCCCCAGAAGTTTAGATGATGGTTTACAAAGGTTGATCTAACTTTGATTGTTTCCATTTTGGCTACCAAAAGCCTGATTTTTAAGAACTCTTGAATCATCTCTTCTTCTATTGATTGTTTCAGAGACACAGAAAAATCAGAATCAGAAAAATTAGAGAGCTTTTGGGGTTTTTTAAGTGCTCTTGCATAAATAGCTCACTTTAAGTCAATTTCTCATAAGGGACTAGGACTCAAGTCTGTAAACTTATTTCATCATAAGCTAATCAGTACCTAATAGTGGCTTGTTTTGAGAAGGTATTAACCCCTTTTTTTTTTTTATGAAGTGTCTGAAAGCCAAATTCAGCTCAACTTTCAATTTCAGCCTGTTAAAGGAAGTGAATAATTTGTAAAACTCTGCTGAGAAGAAGGTTGGAAATAATACCAAAAAAAGATTAGAAGTCTTTTGTGTAAAATTGTAACACAGCTGCTCCTTCTGTATCACTTTGGTTTTCTTTGCCACAAAATATATCTGAAATAGAATGAGATCCAGAGAGGTGGAACAAAATGTTATTTCAATATGAGCAAATTAGAGGTAGTAAGATATCTCAGTTTCTAAAGGAGTAGCTTAAGAAAAAACACGCAATTTTTATATGCAGCTAATTAGCAATGTGCTTGAATTTACCAAGCTTTGTGTCCACCTGAGTAGCTCAACTTTAGAATCAGATTAAATGCCATTAATGTTAGTTTTGGAACTTTTTATATTGGCTATTTAAAGATCCATCTAGCACAGCATTAGGATTAGATCATATCCACTAAATTAGGTGGCAAGCCACGAACATTTACTGGTGCGAGTTTGTTCTCCAGCACTACACCGAATTTGTCTTTCAGTGTCTTCTCAACCTCCTCATCCGTAAGAGTTGTGATCTGCACCAGGTCCATATCCTCCATGTACTTATACTTCACCTTAGTGAAGGTCCATCCAACTAAGGAATAAATCCCTTCAGGGATCTGGAGAGTGCAGATTGACTTCTTCTGAAGTATGTTATCTGGAGACACTTGTAGGTATGTGTTTAGCTCCTGAAAGTCGTTTATATGTCGTGGCTCAAGAGTGAATGTATATATCTTCCTGATATTTCCCGTTTCTGGAGCACCAGTGGCAGGCTCACTTTCCGCAGGAATATAATGCTTCCTTTTGACTTTCTCCAAGTACCATGTGCCATTGTCTTCCATGAAGCGGAAGATGCCGGGGGTCTGGGGCTGATCTTTCCCAGAAATCAGTATCAATGGCTGCCACGACTGGTAGGGACCTCCAAATCCAGCATCTACTATGTAGGAATTTCCCTTGATCACCACTTTCAGTAGGATATGATTCATCTCAGCAGCATATGCTCTCTCTGCTGGTTCATAACTATTTCCTCCAAGAATACAGACATCAAACCCTAACTCTTGCAAGGCCCAAAATAAAAGGTGGTTGGTTTCCAGGCACCATCCACCACGTTTCTTCCTCACAATCTTATTGT